TAGCTTTAGCAGCTGGGGGTGCAGCAGCAGCAACAGCAGTAGCAGTAGTTGCAGCTACAGCAGCAACTGTAGCAGTAGCAGCAGCAGCAGCAGCAGCAGCAGCAGCAGCAGCAGGGGTAGTGGCGCGGCGTCTCTTCTTCAGCTTCTTCGTCTCTTACCAATTAATGAAAACTAATTTATCTATTTATTATTTATTTATTAATTAATTTATTAATTTATTTGTTAATTTATTTATTTATTTATTTATTTTCAGGAAACACTTTCAAGTCCCCGAAGTCCCCCGCAGTGTCCTCTTATCCCTCCAAGTCTTCGCGCCTTTGAAGACTTCCTCATGGCCTCTCTAAACCCTCAACTCTAGGGTTTAGGGTTTAGGGTTTAGGGTTTAGGTTTTAGGGTTTAGGGTTTGGGGGTGGGGACAAGGCTGCAGGCGCGAAGGAGCGCGCTGGGATATAGGGGTTTGCGCTTGACCAAGAAATAGAACTGCAGCAGCAGCAAAAGCAGCAGCAGCAGCTGCTGCTGCAGCAGCAGCAGCAAAAGCAGCGAATAGAAATGAAACAGCGGCAGCTGCAGCAGAAGCATCGCCTAGATATAGAGCAGCAGCGCATGCAGCAGCAGCTGCACCGGCAGCGTCTAGGAACAAAACAGCAGCAGCAGCTGCAGCAACAGCAGCAGGAGCTGCTGCTGCAGAAGCAGCAAAGGCTGCAGCAGCAACAGCAGCAGCACGCAGAGCTGCATAGGAATAGTATTTATGATTCATTTAATTGGCATTTTTAGCATTACTAAATAATTATTATTTATAATAATTATTCTTTTTTATTTTAAATTTTAATTTATAAAATTTATTTATTATTCACTCAGTGAAAGAAACTGCTGCTGAGGGAACCTGTGCTGTACGTACACCTCAGCAGCAACTCATTTATCATTTTTTATTATTTATTTGTTTATTTTTTTGTTATTAATTTATTTATTTATTTATTTAATTTATTTATTTAATTAATTAATTTATTTTTTCATTTATTTGTTTAGAACTTTGATTTAATTATTTCTTTGTTTGTCTTTTTTGTCTCATTCGTCTCGGCTGGGGACTAAGAACAAGGGCACCAGTAGGGTTTAGGGTTTAGGGTTTAGGGTTTAGTTTGGAGCTCTTCCTCCCTGCAGGGCAGCCATGCTTAGATTCCAGGGTTAAGGGTTTCAGCGCTTAGGGTTCTTAGCGTTTAGGGTTTACTTTTTCAGGGTTTAGGGTTTAGGGTTTAGGGTTTAGGGCAGGAAATGCGGAATCTACAGCTCAATAAATCTGGTATATTTCCAAAGAGCACAAGACATAAAACAAAATTAACTTTAAAATAAACAAATAATAAATAAATACAATTAAAAATTGAGTAAAACCAAGGGCCCCCAGGGGGCCCCCCTGGGGGGCCCCCAAGGAGGCCCCCAGGGGACCCCCAGTGACCCTGGGGCCCCTAGGGGCCCCCTGGGGTCCCTGGAGTGCCTTATATAGTTACCCATTTTTATTTAAAAATATTTTTTGTTTAAAAAGGAGTTTATTATTTTTAAATATGCAAACATAGTCGTTGGGGGGCCCCAGAGCTGCCCCCTAGCAGCAGCAGCAGCACCTGCAGCAGCAGCTGCAGCAGCAGCAGCAGCGGCAGCGGCAGCAGGTATATGCAGCCAGGGGCCCGCCTCCTAGGGGCCCCTGTGTCTCCAGCTCTGGGGCCCCCCCCCTGCAGCACCAGGGCCTCAGCAGCAGCCCTTTGGGGGCCCCCCTTTCCTGATGCAGTGGGGGGCCCCCCTGTGTGCCCTTTAGCAGCAAAAGTTTTCTTAGGGGCCCTCCATGGCTCTTTTCGAGGCCTAGGGGGCCCCCCCAATAGGGGCCCCCTCCCAGGGGGGTCCCCCCAGGGTCCTGGGGGCCCTTTAGGGGCCCCTAGGGGGGCCCCCAAACCCAACAAAGACCGAACAAAGGGGGCCCCCACAGCTCCATTCCCTTTATTGGGGGCCCCCCAGGGGACTCCTAGCAGTAATGGCTGGGGAGCACCCCTTGGGGCCCCCCAAGGGGCCCCGCAAGGGGCCCCTCAAGGGGCCCCCCAGGGGGCCCCCAAAGGTGCCCACCAAGGGGCCCCCCAGGGGGCCCCTGGCACCGCCCCTGTGGGGGGCCCCACGGGGCCCCTTCCTTTTTTCTGGAGGCAGCGGCGAGGGGGGCCCCCTAGGGAGGCCCTTGGGGGGCCCCCCTTGGGGGCCCCTCGGGCGGCCCCAGGTCAAGTCCCCTTAGGGGAGCCCCCCGAGGGTACTATTTGGGGCCCCACTAGGGGGCCCCCAGGGGGCTCTCCAGGGGATTTGGTATTTGATGTTATGTCAGCTGTTGCTACACTGAGGGCAGAAGTCTCCGGTACCTTAGGGGGCCCCCCTGGGGGCCCCTCTGGGGGCCCCTCTGGGGGCCCCTCTGGGGGCCCCTCTGGGGGCCCCTCTGGAGGCCCCCCTGGAAGCTCCTCTGGGGGCCCCCCCGGGGGACCTTGTGGGGGACCCCCACGGGGCCCCTGTGGGGAACCCCCTGGGGGCCCCCCTAGGGGCCCCCCGGGGGGCCCCCTTGGCGGGGAGCCCTCTGGGGGCCCCCCTAGGAGCATTTATAGGGAGTTAAATGTGCTGCTGACTGCTGCTGTCAGCAGGGCCCCAAGTGTGTCTGTTTTGAATTTGCTGCTGTGGAGGTTTAGGGCATTTGTGACTCCCGCAAATGCTGCTGCTGCGCTGCACAGGCTGGGGGTGGT